CTTGCCGCGAAATTTAGAATTTGTCTGATTTTTACAGACAAGCGCTCTTAATCTATGCACAACTTCGTTTGGCAAAAGCAAAACTTGAGGGATCTCCTTGTGGTTAATGTGGTATTCAAGGTTCAAAAGAAAATATTAGGGTTCTGCAGAAATTTTAATTTGATTCACAAATTCTCAAATGGTCAGCTCAAAAACTAGTTATCATGACTTCAATTTTGCCTCAGGTTGAGAAAAAAATGAAGGCAAAAATTACCTTTAGTTGGAACTATTCCATAAACTTCCACCCTTAGAGCCTTCCAACCAAGATACGCTGTTGGCCAGAAGCGGATAAACTTTGCACTTGCAAATTCCTGTAGACTGTTTTTTATGATGCCATTTCGGTTTGAATTTCCATTAAATATCTGTAGTTTGTTGCATAAAATGCAAAATAATTGCATCATTAGTTACCATATGTATCAATGTATCAGCTGTGCTACAACCTTCTCCTTCGATATGGGTAGACTTCTTTATAGATACATGTCTTTAATGTCTACCCCAATTAAAATACTTATTGTTTCTTTCATTAAAAATCTACCATAAAATGTGCATATGTCCAAGAATTAGAAGTTGAAATAATATTTTTGGTGAAACAACTTAGGTGAGAGGTACATATACTTTAAGAAAAAATGGCTATTCCTCTGTAGTAAACTGTCTGTAATATTTCTAGCTGTATAATTTTCTCAAATGTCTCCTGCATTTTTGAAAGAAGAAAGAGGTGAGTTACATTGATGAACTGAATGTAATGGTCAATATGACTTATTCAGGATGACTTGTACTTAATCGCAACTACTTCATGCTGTTTCATATTGGGGGGGGGGGGAAGGAGGGGAATAATTTAGCCCTCTACCTTGTCAGTATTGTTTTCTTTATAGGTAAAAAATGTAGTACCATCCAATGATAACTGGATCTTGTAGTTTGTTGTCCACTCATTGATACCTTTAGCTCCTTGTGTAGCGACAGAACAGATGACATAGTTATGCAGCAGGTTAATTTGTAAGAAGTCAGCTGGATTGGTTGTAGTCTTGGGTGCCCAACCTCGATTATTTCCATTCAGTCGGGCATAAGAAGGTTTATATCTATTATCATAATATGATGAGGCTGTGAAGCTGCTGTCAGGAATTGCACCACCAGTAACCAGACCAATGCCCTTCATTTCACAAACTGCAAGGTAATAAAGTAAAGACATGTAGCCTTCACATTTTGACACAAACCATACAAGATAATTCAAGCAATCAATCGTATGTAATCTCTGTGAATCAGTTCACCTCAACTTAATTAAAGGTTATTACTGTATTTCATGGTTGCCTCTAAAGTGAGGCTGTAGTTGACCTCTAAGTACCTTGCATTTATTAACTGACCAACATGTACATACACAAAATGTTTGTTGGTGTGCATGGGGCAATACAGTATCAAGGGATTTATTATGGAACTATTATTTTGCTTCTTAAGTCTTAAAAATGTCCTATAAGTCCACTAAGCCATAACAACATCAACAAGGACAGTGGAATAGAGATCGCAGAAGCTGGGATGCCAACAATCAAGACACACAACAGCAAGGGAGCCATGACAGGGGACCACTGAGAGAACATTTCATCGAAATGCACCAATCAAGGCGTAAGATTCCATCCAATTACAGCTGAGCAGAACAGTTTCTAATGAGACAGATACTCAGTCTACCTTATCATCTGAAGAAAACTTCCAGTATGCAGTTGAAACATTGTGATGCACATCCAAAGTGACTACTTTGTGAAACAAATGATTATATTCCATTCTTTAAAGTAGTTTGTTCTTATTTTAAACTATAAATCTTATGGCATTATTTGACAATTTCACTAATTGCCCATTAACTAGGCATTTGTTAAAGATGAAAGCAACTTAACTGAATCCATTAAGGTGTTCTGTATAACAGAAAAAATTGTCTGTTTCACACAAAAGTTTTTTTCCAGTCCATTAGTCTCATTGCTTAGTAGAGGTTAAGATTCTTGAAGACAAGGCACCAGCAGCAAATGTGTATAAACTGCCAGCACATGACACAACTTCATTAAAATTAACTGGT